TTTTGAATCGCAGATTCCCCCAGCTGGAGTTCTTGCAGAGTCAATACGACGACGTCACGGCCTTCGACTAGGACAAATAGACCAGAGACACCCTCTTGTTAGCAGGCTCCAAATACAAGCCCGCAAGGATCGAACAAGGCTACAAAGGAGCTTCCAGCTAGTCCCTGACTTCCAGAGACCAACACTTACCAGGCCATCATGGAAGAAATCCCCAATCCGTAAAGGCAAAGACAAAAAAACAGAGCTCTTTAAGCAATGGCTACAGGAGAGAAACGTGAACACTGACCTTGTCATCTATTCAGATGGATCACAGTTGGACGACCAAGGCACAACCCGCACTGGATGGGGTTATACTATCAGGAAAGGCGGCACTACACAAGAAATATACCGGGGAAAAGGCAGACTTCTCTAAGCAGAAGTAATAGATGCTGAAGTCCATGGTGCTCTCTAAGGTCTTGCAGCAGCCAGGGCAATTGGACGCAGAAAACGGCTATATGTCTGCCTGGACAACACGTCAGTGGTAGATGGGCTCAATAGCACTCCACCCGAGACATCACAGAACATTTTTTTACGGTTTCAAGAACTTACCACAGCACACACCCCTGGAGTGACCGTCAAGTGGATTCCTGGACACAGAGATATTGATGGCAACGAAGCTGTCGACATACTAGCAAAAGAGGGTGCCATGCTAGAAACAGACACGATAAATCTTCCTATAATCTCTTGGGTCAAGAAAGATCTCAAAAAAAAGGGCAAAAAAGAGTTCAACTAATAGTAAAAAGACCAATCAGAACCTAGGTATCAAGAAGTATACTCACATACAGTAACTAAAAGAGACCTTATATCTTTTAAGAGAAGTACTTTACACAGACTTCTAGCGGCCAGATCTAGACATGGCGACTTTGCCAGATATTATGAACGCTTTGGGCATACAGACTCGAATGATCACTACAGCTGTGGTGAGAAGAAAACACCACAATATATTTTCTTTTGTAAGAGGCTGGGGAAAAATCAGCTGCTGCCCAGGTACTCGCCTAGGACAGACTGTTTACAATACTTAGGGGAGAGGAGCACAGAATGGGCAAAATTCGTGGAGAAGAGCAAGTTCTTTTCAATAATTTGTCCCCGATAGATAGCTTTTCTTGAAGGCCCAGATGGATGACCCCAAGGTCATACCGCCGCAACAACGGGGATGGGCCCGTGAGCGGGGCTGACTGTACTTATTATCTTGAGACCTCCACAACCCTGCGATGCAGAGGCTCTGGGAGGCGTGGTTTGCACTACTGAGGAGCTACCCCCCACGTTAAATACAATCAATCAATCAAACAGTACTACGGCTCCTTGATAGTTCGATGAAGCCTAACGATGCGATATAGAAAGCTAAATGCCAATATGAGCAGGAGCGATCGAGGGTCGTGCTACTGAAGAGCACTGCAGGGTTGTAAGGACACGGGGACATACAGACCTGGTAGTCAATGGACAGGCCGGCGTAACGGACTGACCAACACAACAACCTGACTGCCGCACGAACGGACGGCCGCGACATTGATAAAGACATCAGCGCAGCAGAAAAACAGTTACGACAAGTGGCCCAGCAGAACTAATGATCGCCGCAACAGAGTGGCCGAAGCAGCTACATGAAACTCATCATAAACGGACTGGCCGTTTAAAGATTTTAATTCTTATACACTTTAACCGTAAAGGAATAACTAAACCCCAACAGCTGATAATACAACAAGTAGCAAATGCTATATATACGGGAAGCTTCACAGAATGAGACGCCCAAAAATAAAAATAAAAAACATTCCTCCCACGGCGAGATTTGAACTCGCAGCTTTTGGATTTCTCACAGGTTGCCCTAAAAGTCCAACACGCTAACCATTGCGTCACGCGGGATTGAGTGTTGTGCGATGTACGCAGGCTTATATGTGGCAGGAGCGCTGCGCAGGATTTATGAGTCACAGCAGGTGCCAGGAATTGAGTGCAGGCACTTAATCCTGTTTGCGAAGCAGAGGAGTTCATGACTGGGATACGTGGCATTTACAGCGGCAGTGGAATTGTCACAGACAAGTCACCGTCGCCGATAAAGGGGTCTGAATCAAGGCAGTGCATATTCGGCCACACAAGGATGCCTGTCAATCACCATGAGAAGAATTTTGCGGATAGGGGAATCAAATTGCTCGGCTGTTTCCCGAGGGAATGCTTGGTTTCTTCATAAATCAAGTGCTACATCATCCTTGTGTCATCATGGCTTTGATCTCGACCACCATTCTTGACTGCCCATCACTCACAGGGATCCGGTCCGTAAAGGACGACCACCTCAGACCACAATCGGCGCTCCTCCTCGCTGCCAACCCAACTCGCTCCTCGCAGTGCGTCCTGCATCAGCTTATACGCCCAGGACGCGTGATCGAGCCAGCCCATGAACCGCAGCTCGAGTGCGGTTCGAACTCCGTCGCTGGAGTTCTCTATAACCTCTTCCAGGGTGGCGAGCGGAAGCCAGCTCCTGAACAGACCCACCAGGAACTTTTCATTGATGAGCTGGCTCGGTCCACTGACCAGAAGGACCCGAGAGACAGGCGAGGGATCCTGTTTTGGCGAAACGACCTTGTCGAGCGATGCCTCTGGGATTTGTCCGCCGATGAGGTAGTGGCCCTCGTGGACCAGCCGCATGAATCTTTCGGCCGACACACAGTCCCAGAACGTGACAAATCCCTGGCACTTTTTCCCCCCCGAAGGGCCCACGACCTTGAGCTTCGAATTCCAAATTTTCCCGATGCCCCTGATGGGACCAAGGAGCTCCTTGGGAGTACTTCCATGTGGCAGTTTGGTCAGGCGGACTCTGGTATTGCTGTGGGAGGGGCCAATTTTGTTTGGTGGAAATTTGACTCTGATGAAAGTTTTAGTATTGGTTATCATGGAAAAAATCAGAAAATCGGTATTACCTTTCTTGCCCATTGATACGGTCCTTGCAAAGTTCACCTCGGGGTCAATGAGACCTGGTCGGGCCGCGCATTGCCCGCCTCTGGTCATTGCTAGGCGAGAGATAACGCCCGGAGGCTTCTTCGGCAACAGTAACTCTTCGAAGTCCATTGTGTATGCGTCAAGCGATGTCACGATATTGTTTCGGCTGGTGTCGCATAGCAACGAGGTTGTCAAGGATTTGTGAAACTGCAGGCGATAGCAGGCGGGCGGTGGCTCGACGAGACTCTGATGCAATGAAGTTTCTGGGATGTGAGAAAAAGTGCTGAGCAACGGCGGCGAAAATGTGTTGCTCAACGGGACAGAAGGCAAGCGGTGGTAAGCTATCAGGAAAGATATCTACTTGAAGTCTCGTCTATGATTGCCGTCCGACCAGAAACAATGGTACATACTAGCTGGCCATTGTTCCCATTGTATGGGCCATTTTGCCACTGGACATTGTCTATAGCAACGCACGTACCACGAACTGGGAGCTCAGAGCACATTAGAGAGGCTAGTATAGGTCAATAGGAAGGCCTAAACCTGCAGCATCCTGGGAAGAAGGGTGCCAAGGAAGCCTGAAACAGTGAATAGGTTGCGCCCGTCATCAACCATTTAGGAAATACGACCAACTTCAATAGCCACTATATAACTTTTTATCCGGCTCATTGGAAACCGTAGCGCTTGTCTAAACATATAAACAGTTTTCTGGACAGAAAAGTGTATGTGTTGTACCCTTCAAGACCACAATAACCTAAACGGGTGTCAAGTAGGAGCAGGCGGTAAACTCAGGAGTGGTAGTCGAATGCACAGTGCTTTTACTTTGTGACATGCCACAAAAAACTGTCCTTATCAGGGAACCTCAATTCGTCGTTTGTAATATCATTGCCCAGGAAGATCGACCACTAACGCATCCGGCTTCACCACATCGTCTCTTGTGCCGCCCCTTGACAGGTGGTTCAGCCCAGTGGTTTCCACGCTCAGAAAGAATGAGTGTTAATTTCGCTGTCTTAGTTGTACGTGATCGCATGATTGGGCTCCCGCAGTGTCCTATGAACTCGAGCTTCAATTTCAGTCTGTAACTGTGAGGACTGTAGACAAGAGAGCGATTTAAGAGAGACTGAGCATTGCCCCGGATACATGTTATATGGCATATGAATGTATCATGCTAGAAATCTAGATAGCACTTGAAAGTAGATACTTTATATAATGACGCACAAATACCTTACTTAAGAACGGCCGCTTAAACAAAGTACCTAAACATGAAGGGTTGTTTCAACATTAAAATCAACTTATTTAAGATGTTTTAAAGGTGACAGGCACATCCGGTCCCCGCAGCGCCAAAACAGATTCGACCAGTATCGTCAACCACGAACGACTTCGTACAAACACGTTCATACACTATCAAGCACCAGGATACCTGTAGACTAGAAATTAGTAAAGTCAAAACCCATCTGCAAGTGCGGCTCCACAGGACTGGCTTCTCCTTCCGCACGAAGGCATTCGCGTTCATGCTGGTGGAAGGTGCAACGCACAGTAGGAATCCCCTGTATCTCACTTCTCTGCTAGCCCTGGAGATTCCCCCTCTCCAGCATCAACACCCCTACCAACCATTTCAATTCATTCAGCGTCAATCCGCCTCGTCTTCTGCAGATTTTAACCACTTATCAAGATAACATCACCTCAACACCACCGATATCCGAATACCAAACTCGGCCTGGTCGTCATGGATGAAAAGTAATCATACCTCCCATTGCAGGAGTGGTCATAGAACGGCAAGCCCCTGTCTCTAGCAGACGACGAGAAACAGGAAGACGATGAGAAGCAGAACGCCGCCAATGATGATTACCTCACAGCTAAGGTGGTTAACCAACTGCGCCAGAGCCATGCCCGCGTACGAGAGATGATCGAGTCGCGAAAGGCAAGAAAGCCCAAGCACCCTCGAGCACCACCGAACGCATGCTGACAAGGCCAAGGACCTCGTTCGCCCGGTCCGATTCAAGACTGTCCACAAGAGCGGCAGCCTCGTCAGCCTCACGATGCCGACAACATTTCACCGGCAGGAAAGAGAAATTTCGCTCGCAGCTTATGTGACGAAGAACCCAGCCAACGACGTCTCTTGTACCCAATGCATTAGTCTATTATCGAAGGGTCCATGCGAGGAGTGTGTTTCTGTCGGACCGAACACCTTCAATGGCGCCTGCACCAACTGCCAGTACAAGTCAACAGCTTCTAGATGCTCATTCTACAAAGATCGGTCTCGCTCCTCCATTGGTGTTCCTGCACCCGGGCCGAAACCGGTTGGACTTGGTTCGAGGGGAAAGGAACGCGACAACGAAGAGGTGAAAGAACATGGCAAGGAGCATGGCAAGGAGCAAAGAACGGGCAATGCAGAACAAGCAGGCAAGAAAACGCATTCCGGCAAGAGAACGTGTCTCAAATTTCTGAACGAGCACGTGAGCGTTACGGAGAGGGAGTATGACTACAAACACATTGATGAGCTTCCTGAGGATATGCTTGCCTATGCCTCGGCGAGGCAACTGGAGATTTGGACTGGCCGGATCGACGCACAGCTGGCATTGCGGAACGCAAAGCGCAGCCGCCGCTAGATGCGTTAACTACCTTACGTAGCCTTCGATATATTCGCACTCTGATATTCTTTGAGACCTCGAGCCTGTCGCCCAGCGGCGTCTGCTATACCGCCCACATGTGAATCCGTAGTCTGAGAACCAGCGTGGTACATGGTCAACATGTCCTCGACCAAGTCAGAAACCGCCGGAAGGGCCGTAAGTTAGAGTTTACTGTTCACGAATTCCAGCTCGCTTGCCTTGAGACGCTGGCAACCAGGCCAATCTCAATGGAAGGTGTCGGAGGCGAGGCTCCCACCAGAACGCTGGCTTGGGTGTCTGATACCGTAAAGCAAGATCGTCGTAGTCGTCGTCTTGACCAAGCGTTATGTGAAGATCCGCTTGACACAGCTGAAATTGGGAAGATAGCTGGGGAAGCACGCCGTAGGCAACACCTTGACCGTCATATCTACACGTGCCTCACAAGCGGCATTCCTCCATCCTCCATCCACTCAAATTCGCCATTCCCGGGGACCTCGGGCTCTACGCAGTTGACATGGAACTGGGCGTAAGGGGTAATGGACATCCGATATTGGTGGTGAGAGGCTATGCTTGTACAGCTGCTTTCACTGCCCCTTCAGACAGCGGCTCCAACTTTCATTGCAATCTGGCCCCCTGTAAGTGCACAGTCAAACACGCAATTCTTTGAACTAACTGACAGGCAAGGAGACAAGTCTAAAGTGCATACCAACGCCGCCAGTACGTGGAATGTGGTAGAAGGTGGTGGGATCATGGCTTCTCTTACTAACAGGCTTACTGACTGAGTCTCCGGAGTCACTAGCCATCTACTCGTAATAGTCAAGCTGTGTTGACGCGCTTGATTGTTGCCCTATTACAAACGCCCACTTTGCTTATTGCTGTGACGGAACGCTCACCATAACCACCATGCCACGGCTGTTCCTCCCAAAAGGATGTCGAATATCAAGCGTGGCAGCTTGACATTCAATGGTGGTACATGTACTCATGTCCGGGCTCCAGGACTCACCACATGGGCTACCTGTACCAGACCATGACAATTGTAATGAAATTAGAAACCGGCTTCCCAAAGGACTAACCAAGGCGCGTAAAACAATGTCACTTCTCATCATCATAACTATAAGGACCCTCTTAAATCCCTTTCTGCTATGCCGAAAATGGTGATCACACCACGATCCCCTTCTAAGCCACCCCTTTCTTTCTGAGCCCGTAAGTTCCTAAGTCTTGACACCCAGCTCTTCTCCCACATGCTGCAAGTCTTTGCCAAGCCATCCTACACAGACATAAACTGGCGATGTTAGCACACAGCCATCGCCCCACACCTTCAGAGCACGCCTGATTGCGATTAGGGCCTTAGAGCATACTTTTTCTATAGATGAGGTCAAGCGTACGCAAGGTAGCCAGGGATGAAGACACGGGTGTGGAATATTGCAATCATTCTCTAGTCGTACATAGGAATGGGGGTAATCTGAACGAGCCTTTCATGTTTGTTTGTCTTCAGCTGTTTCCTCACAGGGGATGAAACTCATCTAGTATAGAGACACTGGAGCTTCAACCCTCGTCTTCTGCTTCATCCCAGTTCTCGGTCAAATATATATTTGAACTCAAGAATCTTTAGCATTGTCCAGAATGGAAATATCAGCATCGACTCCTTCACGCCCAAGGTCCGAGTTACAATGGTCTTGTACCTGCACTGCAGAATATGATCAAGTCTCTTGGCCCCCCAGCGATGGCGCCTCCATACCCTCTACCAGAGTTCTCTCCCAGAGTGTCATTTCGTTCAATGACACACATAATAACCTGGACCAAAATCAGGTCATACCGATCCCAGAATCGGAAAAGAGCAATCGTGCCATAAAGCAGGACCATCAGTCGATGATGCAACGGCTCTATCGGATCTCAGCGGCCGTGGCAACCGGTGATCCTCAACCAAAATGGCTACAGCTGGGAAACATGTGGCCATGCCACACAATCCGATGTACTTCCTCGTGCAAATGCAGTGGCTGATTCGGTCCAGGCTTTTGAGTTTCTGATTTGGCTACAATCGATGTACCAGCAGATGGTTCAGCAGGAAACCGCCGAAGCTTATAGTGACGGGGGTCAGCGCGATGTAAAGATTCGTACTCGCTTCTCCGGAGTAGCCGCAAGGATATATCAAAAATTAATTCCGAATACACACAAACTTTATCATTCAGTTGAATTGTTTTCATTATGCCGATTTCTTCTCCTATTTAACAACTAGATCGAAGGCTCCAGGAAAGAACTTTGGACTAACGACACCACATCTTTGTCTTTGATTTCGAAATAGCCAGGCTATATATGCTTTTGCCACTGTCTCGAGCACAGCACCTGTGCTATCGTCTCTTCCGAACTCGGTATAAACCCCGGTATTCGTATAGTGCGTGCGACATTACCGCACACTCAGGGGATATTCCAGTCTTCACAAAAATAGCCTTAAAATCATCTGCTTCTAAAAGTAGTCGTTTCGCTGTCGAGCCACGATAGTTCTGTTCGCGTATCAGTATTACCCTTTGCGCTCACATCCGGAGTCTTGCGCTTTTGTCATGCTTCATTTTCTTGCCCGGGACTCATAAAACATTCCGAAGACGAGGAAGCCGCTTAGGACTGGTACTACTCCACCAAAGCCATGAAACACCTAATGGCGTATATCCCACGTGCACCAGTACCTGAGGCAACCAGCGGCTTTACACTCCAACGATCACGCGTCTCAGAACCGATAATGAACGCGTCCTTGACAAATGCGCCCCGACCAGAAACTCGGCTGATCACATCATCAACGATTACCCAAAGGAAGCTGTGTACAAGACGGAGAGGATTCGGCTCCAGCTTCTGAACCGTAGTGGCAAGCCCAGCGTCCGATCCCGAGAGAGCTGGACGAAACATAACCCTGCCCAGCTAACTACTAAGTGCAGAGGCTGCAACAACAAGTATTTAGGGATATCGCGAGCTAAAAGTATGTGGCAAGACATATGATCGAGACGTTCGGCGAAGAATACCATGCAGCTGGCTACGGCGCAGGCGCATTTAAAGATTCTCCCCCGCTGATATACCGTATGCGCAAGTACGTACAGACGGTTTTATACAACGAATTGGATGAGGATTATAAGTTTAACGAGGCCGTGTTATATACCTACCTCCACGGAATGGCCACGAGTCCCCATGACGACGGGGAACCTGGGCTTGCCGCATACGTCACATCTCTGTCCCTCGATGGGGCAGGAGAAATGGAGTTCTTCGTGAAAGTAAGCCGCCGACCAACGCCCGGCACTCCGTTCTTACCAGGGTGCCAGCGAAGGGGGGAGCTACTGGAACCAAAGAAAAGACGATACCACAAGGATCTGAGAGAAGAAGAATACCAAGCAGCGGTAACCGCGATCATCGTCGCAACGAAGTTCAGCAAGGCCGCCAACCCGCACCCGACTTACGGATACTTCCATGGTACGTTAAACGAAACGCAGACGACATTGAGCGCATGTTGATGATACAGGCCCAATTCCCAACCAGAACCTGGCTGTAGGGTCATCGTTTGGAAGTGGTGTCACCTCTAGTGAACTTGAGCTTATACTGACCCTACGTTCGGCTCAGCACTCTCAACGCATCGCACTCGGACCCCAACTGTCAGGAAGCATCCAGGAGAACAAAGAACCTTCATGTAAATATACATGGCCTCCGTGCCTGACTAGTATTGCACCTCTCTGCAGAACAACATACCATTTACCCCCCCCCCCCCATGGTTCGGCCTTGTGACACCAACGACATGGGGTCTTTTTTTTAGAGCGGTGCTGGGGTTTAGAAATACTACCAGCATACTGCCGGGACTCACTTACCCTCCGGTGGATCGAGCCGTCACATGGGCCGTCCAGAAAACGCCGGCAATATTGAACACAACGGGGTCATGACACACGTCGCGGTGGCAAGGATCTAGTCTGAAGAGTGTGCATGCATTGAGACCGGAGGTTGGCTGTACTCTCTCATTCCTAGCCTCTTTCATCACCCATGAGCAAGTTTCTACATTCCCTCCCAATAGGCGGACACCGTGCTAATCCAGGAATTCCAGATGCGTCCCCAACTCGTATTTGCAATACAACCACAATATTGAGGCTGTCACTGTCGCCAGCGGCCTGGTGTATTTAGCGCCTGGCCATGATATACTCTCGTTAACAGGCGTCTTGAATTATACAACTTTAGATATGTAGATAGTAAAGTCTGCGGACTCTGCCGGCGGGTTCGAAGGCACATCCTCGACGTGCCATGCCCCTACCACAGTACGCCTCCGCCGCTTTTGAAGCCCTTTTTGATGCTGCGCCGTAGATTGTAGTGCTGTGGGGACCTAGCAGCGCATAGCGGTACTGCGAGTCGAGCCCTAAAGCCATCCTGCGCGGTATGCGGATCGGACAGGTGCTGTTTGATGTGAGTAAGTAGATGTAATGGACCACCAAGGCGTAGTAATTCCCATAGAACATCAGTCACGCGACGTCATGAAAGTCGGTGTAACGTAGAATCAGTGGTTGATGTGCCTTGCCCCCTTTGTGCCAGGGCTTGTAGACTTGGGCGAGTTGCCAACCCTGGTCGCGTCGGTGGGAAGCATGAATCGAAGAACCCCTAGGACTCTGGTCATTGGGTGAACTTCAGCATAGTAATTGGACACAATTGTTGGTTGATCATGATGGTATCTTCATTCATTCATAGGACTCATCCGTGCATATGCACGAGCCCAAGTGTCGCTCAGCATCAGCCGCCCATCCCTACGCCTTCTACCACACTGTCAGCAACACATCCCCAACACCCAACACCACAAATCACAATCTTGCAGAACCCACCTCGTACGGCTTGATTTCCACCAACAGCTTGCCCGTGTTCTTGCCCTGGAACAGATCCAGAAACGCCTGGTCGGCTGCCTTCAAGCCACCCCGAGCGATCGTCTCCTTGCGCTTGAGCTTGCCCTCCTCGAGCCACCCCGACAGCTCCTTCCGGCCCCTCGCGTAGTCCTGGGCGAAGTCGAAGACGATGAAGCCCTCCATGTGGATGCGCTGCGCCGTGACCTGGAACAGGTTGCGGATGCCCTTGCTCTCCTTGCCGGGGGCGTTGTAGCCGGAGATGGAGCCGCACATGACGAAGCGGGCGCGGAACTTGGCGCGGTCGAGGGCCATCTCGAGGATCTCGCCGCCAACGTTGTCCCAGTAGAGGTCGATGAAGTCGGGTGTCGCCTTCTTGAAGTCCTCCCGGAAGGAGGTAGACTTGTAGTTCAGCGCCGCGTCGAAGCCCAGCTCCTCCTTCAGCCACGCGCACTTGTCGTCCGAGCCCGCGATGCCGATCACCTTACAGCCCTTGATCTTGCAGATCTGGCCGACCACGGACCCCGTGGCGCCGGCGGCGCCCGAGACGACGACGGTGTCGCCCGCCTTGGGCTTGCCGATGTGCTCGAGACCGGTCCAGGCGGTCAGGCCGGTCAATCCTGTAGGTGTAGACACATATCAGCTACCAACTCCTCCTCTATTTAACCGCTGCCCGGGAGCCATGTAGCGGAAGTCGACGTACCCAATACGCCCAGCGCATCTGTGACCTTGGAACCCTTCGGCAGCTCGACGACCTCGAATTGCTCCTCGTTGACAATGGCCACCTCGGTCCAGCCGCAGAAGGCGTTGACAAGATCGCCCTCCTTCACCTTGGAGCTCTTGCTCGCCAGGACCTTGCTGATGGCGGCTCCTCGCATCGTCTCGCCGATGGCGACCGGTGGCATGTACGATCGGGTATCTGTGATACATTAAGTAGCAATGTCAGCTCCTGGACGAGTCTCCATGTGTCGTGGCTTGGCTGATTGGTAGAGAGAGGTGCGATGGGTATCTACCTAGATTCACGTACCGTTGAGCCAACCCCTCATGGCGGGGTCGAGCGACAGGTAGAGGGCCTCGACGAGAACCTCGCCATCCTTCAGCTCTTCGGCCGTGGGCGCGGGTGAGGTCTCGAGCTTGAAAGTCTTTCCGGGGACGACGTCGGCCTCGGGGCGCACGGCCAGCTTGAAGGAGTGGTTTTCGCGACCCATTGTTGTCGTGTGTGTGGAAGAAGGAATGGAGTGGTTAGGTAGGTTAGCTGCAGAGGTCTAGTAGGGTCAATTGCTCGTTGATGTTGTCAAAATTCGAAACAGTTGCAGGCGGACGCCAATATTTATAGGAAGCTCCTCTGCCGGAGCTCGACCCAAGAAGGGCCATTTCGGCTTGATAAGTGACGAGATGTTGACTGGACTGGATTAATAATTGTGTCTCTGTCCGGCCAGTGACCAAGCAAGAGTCGTGGCAAGCGTCGGCCGACTACCTAGGTAGGGCACAAGCTTCCACGGCGCGCGTCGTTCTGACATAGGAACTTGAAGCGGTCGATCTGCCTCGGGGATAACGTCAACCACGGCTTAGAAAACTAGAAATGCGCGCAATTGGCCAACAGCTACCGGAGACGCCGATTACAGTATGCATTGACGGGCCGATGGCATGATGCAGGGACGGGATCACTAACCAGATCTTGAGGTGCGCCGTGCCGAGGCAGCGGTGGATCGAGCCATGTTTCGGTGTCCGAAGAGGTGGAAGGACTACAGTGACTCCGGTCACGGATCAGGTGATACGTAAGCCAACATTGAATGCATTCACTGACTCCTTGGACTCATTGAGTTGAGGTGACACTCAATGCACTTCACAGACTGTAATGGATCACGAAACGAGGTAGACAGCAGTGGCACCCCGACAACCTTAGGCTTCTTTATAGGGGTACCTTACAGCGCCCTCCGGTACTCCATCGCCGGCGTGTGTATGCGGCCGCAGAACCCCACATCCCCGCCATGGATGCTAGCCACGTGTTGCCGATTAAAACTTCAGAATTGAAACATTGGACTTTCGACGTGTTATTAAACCGCGCAGATCCCATTGCTTTCTAAGCATCGATATTCATGCCTGCACCAGCAAGGAAGATGGCGGGCGCAGTCGCCCAAGCCTGGTTGATGGGCACATCTCAAGACGTCGACTGGTCGCCAGATGCGTACATATGTCGCCATCGACCCGGCCACCTTCGTGCAGATGACCACTCTGTCTCTCACGAGAACATACAAATATCGCATGTTCGATTACTGATCGAAGACAGCTGAGCTGACACTTTTGAGCTTTCAAGTCAGAACCGCTTCCTTATGGAGATGGTGTGAAGGCACACTGCAGCGAGTCGACAAACGACGAGGACTTCCCCTCGGTGAGCCAAAGGTCTCCCAACGCGACATGTTCTCGAGACCAGCCTCGGCCTCCTCGGGCCAGGCGACTATAATCGACTATTATCTGCAGCTCATTGTCGAGTGGGCAGGTTCTGAGGCGGATCCGTGCTCACGTATACTGGGACAGCTCCGGTCTCGCTGCCGGTCTCGCGCAGACCTCTCAACGGGTTCCGGACCAGGCGACACATTTCAGAGAAGCGAAGGGTCGTGCTCATTGCCTCTGTTCCTTCGTCAGTTTCTATTATGGCATTGCTTGCGGATGCTGCGAGCTCGAACCGCAGCACGCGCTCCTGAACTAGCATTTAAGTGTGCGACTAGGTGGAATACAAGGCCTTGTACGTCAACCAGGGAAGTTGTTCTCGCGAATCAGTGCCCTTTCGAAGAAATTCTTACGTGGTACGAAGACCAGGACGCAAAACCTATTGTGTATCAGTGGGCGCTGTTCTCATATTGACCCCTGAAGTCCGAGGGCTGCCACTCGCTCTCACGCCCGCAGATTGACCATGAGTATGAAGGTCTAACGGAACCAGCACGACATCACCACCGACCTCATGCGTCTTGGTGTCTCCAACTCGTCGAAAGGTTAATTTAAAAGAATCGAGCTGAGGAACGGCATACTATACTCTACTTGTAATGCGCACGCAACTATGAGTGTATGCTTTGCTAAGAGAGGATTCCAGTATGATTGGGGATTTGTAACGCCCAGCCGACGACTTAGACGACTAGAACGACGTGTTCAGAGCAGGTTGTTCGCGGCAGTCGGAGATACTTTAGACTTGGCCATCCCTGGAACACTCGCTCGACTGGAATCCGAAAATCAGACTCCGACATCGCGTTCAGCAACATGACTCCCAACAGCAGAGGAGGAGAAGCAACATGCCCGGACCCCGAGTCCGACTACGACTACGAACTTCAGCTCGCTCTCGGCGCCCAAGGACCGCATCGGCATGTGGTTTGCCGAGGAGGGTTCCCGGGTGAGAAGGGCTGAGAGCCAGCCGAGGGGGCGATTGAGATGCCTCCCTGGCTTCGTGTTGTTGGGCAATTGTGGTGTTCTTGTACATCCGTACTTCCTAGCACGCCATAGTATGCATTCCCCAAAGTTAGGTGACTCTTTGGCATCGTAACCCGTCGAAGCTACCATGAACGGCCCGGCCTCGAGTACATGCTGGTTGAATGGCCATTTCAACGTACCCAACCAACTCGACATGAGTATTCAGCTGCGAGCTAAAACATCAGTAAATGAGCAGACAACTCTGGGCTATGGGCCCTGCTACCTGTCGAATATACGCAATATGTGGTGTACATCTGTTCAGGCCCCCTTGAGGTTGTATGCTTACCCAGCCGCAGTCGACCTCTCGTCAGCTTCTTTCAAGCCGAAGCCTTGTTAAACCCCTTGGAGCGTAAACTCAAGACAATACTGGCATCCAATGATAAATTTGAGCAGTCAGAGCCATGAACTGCACAATCTCTAGGTATGTCTCCTCTATCATTCTCGAAAGCAAGCCTCCGAGTGCAGAGCTGAGGCCATTGCCAGGGTGGAAGGGCTGCTGCTATCTAATGAATCTTACCTGAGATACAGGGCGCAGCGTCTATGTTCAAGGAATTGCGAATGTCCAGCGATCATCGTATAATCCATCCCATAATTCATTCGCACCGCCAACCTTTATACGGATACACAGCTTACACATAGACGAAGAACCTTATACAGCCACGTCGCTAGGTACAGCACCATGTAAGCCTTGAAATACCCGTTTCTTTCCCAGTATTATTCAGGTGCAACGTTTAATTCATCCCCAATCCTCCGCACCTTGCCACAACCAGCAGCCGAAACATGGCCCACCAGGACGCCCCTTCAAACTCGTCCACCCAGGGCTCCTCCAGCCGAGCACAACAAGGCAAGCCAGCCTCCCCAGCCTCCCTAACCCCCGACCAGACCCAAAGAATCAGCTCGCCAGAGCAAATACACATACACAGGTCCTCAACCCAAACCCCAATGAACCACCAAGAACTCCTCGCAGCAGAAAACACGCCCCAGGGAATGCAGAACGAGATATACGCCTGCAGGCAATGTCTGCCCCAAACCCAACGCCTGCGCTTCTGCATCGAGTGCGGGATATCCGACCGCATGGGGCCGGACGGATACACGCCCGGGTCGCAGATCGTGGTACAGGGCGTTTTGTATGTGGTGTGCCTTTATTGCAGACAGTATGGTTTGGGCGCGAAGACAGCCGACGGGCGCGGTACGCGGTATTGTAAGGCGTGCTGGACGATGAGGCCGCCGCATGTCGCTGGGGAGGATGATATGGGGGCGGACCGTTGGGAGAGGTTGAGGGTCGCGAGGGAGGGCGGGGAGGAGGGTCGGAAGCCGGTCGGTCGAGTGGGGTTTGATAGTATGTGGTAGCACTTCCGGGCAGCTCCAAAGGGTCTCGATTGATGTCGAAACCACGACTCAAACGACAGATAGAGTAGTTGAATCCCTTTCGCGTTGCCTTGAACCTGCGCCGTGACACCTGCTTCTGAGTACACCCCAGACGGTACTGTAGGATCACTCAGAGCTTGAGACACCTAAGGCTCAGAAGCTTTGAATCCCAGCAGCAGCCACCTGCTTATATCCCTTGAGCACAAGCATACCATCCATCCGCCATTCCGCCCCAAAACCATCTCATCAAGCAGCCAACCTCTCATCCGCCTCCTTCATCGCCCTCTCATGGAACTTGCGATGCTCAGCAATGCTATCATCAGCCTTTGCCAACCTCTCATCCGCCTCCCTCATCGCCCGCTCGTGAAACTTCCGATGCTCGACCATGGCATCATCCGCCTTGGCCAGCCTCTCATCCGCCTCCCTCATGGCCTCAACATGGTACCTCCGATGCGCCAGTATCCTTTCGCCCGCCTCCCCAACCTCCCGCTCATGAAACTTCCGATGCTCCACCATACTATCATCCGCCTTCGCCAGCCTCTCATCCGCCTCCCGCATCGCCTGCACGTGGAACTCCCTATGCTGCACGATGCTGTCCTCAGCGGCAGCCAGCCGTTCATCCGCCTCGCGCATTGCGCGCGCGTGGAATTGCCGGTGCTCGACCATACTGATGTCGCTCGCGGCCAGCCGCTCGTCCGCTTCAGCCATGGCCTGCGCGTGCCAGACGCGGTGCTCTTTGATTCGGTCCTCGGCGGCTGCTAACCGCTCGTCGGCCTCGCGCATCGCGCGCTCGTGGAAGCGCCGGTGCTCGACCATGCTGTCGTCGGCGGCGTCTAGGCGCTCGTCGGCCTCGCGCATGGCTTCTTCGTGCCAGGTGCGGTGTTGCTGGACTGTCCGTCCACACGTGAGTTAGCAGCTACTCAGAATAATAAAGAGTCACTGCCCTTAAAAACGAAACAGCCTCCCCAGATGGGCCAGACTTAGCAGAGAAAGGGTCCAGAATATAAAGTACATACTGCGGTCCTCGGCTGCCGCCAGCCGCCCGTCGGCCTCCTTCATCGCATCCAGGTGGAACTCGCGGTGGTTCCGCATGCTCTCGTCCGCCTCGGAGATCTTCTCCCTATGGTGCTTGTCAAGCCAACTGAGGCGGTCATCGTTCTCGTTCTGCGACCATGAATAGGGCGCGGCGCCGGCGTTCTGAGGCGCCATGACCTGTGCTGATGCCGCCATTGTCCGGGGCGATGAGGTAGCTATACGACCTAGGACAGCGATGCCACGGCTTGTGTTGGCACTTGACTTGCGATTACTGCGCTTCTGCCACTCAGTTTCCGGCCGTACGTCTGGAATTATAGTCGTTGGCTTCGTGAAACAGCTTGCATGGTAGAAATGGGAGCATGATTGGAGTGGCGCAGGTGGGTGACTGGCACAGGTTTCGGCTAGCATGACGTCACCGAGCTACAAGGTTCAAGTCGCACCCCCCCCCCCCCCCCCCCCTCTTTATCCGATCCTACACATAGACAGCATAGACTACATGAAAGAACCTCATGTTCAACTCATCATCTTCTTGTGTAGCTACGTACATTTTAGCTGAGAGTAGTACGCCAAATGGGCAGGCTGCTGCAACATACTTGCAGTTCAGAAATGTCTGTAATTGCGCAGCTGCTGCGATAGTAAAGGAGTCATTAAGAAATACCAACATCTGTCACAAGTTGCAAGAAGAACGTTGCCCGATTATTTTGATGACCCATGGTCCGTTTTCTGTAACTAGGGCTCAACAGAGGAGCCCTCAGGTTTCTGCTATATACAGGACAGAGCGAAAGTCGTAGCTAGCCTTGCCTCTGACGAGGGCATGGACTCATACATGGTAGTGCAACATGTAGGGGTATCGTGAGGCACCTGTACCGATTTGTTCGTTCGTGGTTTTGAATTAGTTCCTCCCCTAAACGAAACCTGGAAAGCTGAACTTCCCCAACCTTGCCTGGCCCCAACTGGTGGACCAAAGAGTGTCCATGTACCAGATGTCGTCTCTGGTCTGACCAAGAATCTGCTGCAGTGCTGCAAAATGTATTCTGGAGCCACTTCAGCTCATCCTACGCAGCTAGGTCAAAAGCATGCCAGGTATCCCCAAGATAACCTGTACTTCCAATCGAGTGCAACATCAAAGAGTAGTGTCTTCGCACTTCCCTGTCTCATTTCGTCATTGTGTTCCTTTGCTGGAGCACAGCGACCAACTCCTGCCTGAACTGCGCTGAATGTGGCATATGGGTACTATTCATTAGCATCATCAACGAGCAGGGATGCTCAAGACCGAGCTTGCATTGGTATCGCTGCTCAGATCATCCACATCGTCATGCTGAAGCACAGGGCGCCGTCGGTTCTTCGCCTTGCCTTTGCGGGATATTATCTTCTTGGCTGAGACCCGCTGTCCTTCGCCAGGGGTATGAGAGTTCCTGTTGGCCTTCTTGGACGGGGTGGACTTGGCGGGTGTACTGTTGCCCTTGCCTTTTTGTCGAGTTTCGTTCGACTTCGCAGTAGAGGCGGGCGGAACATCGGCAGACGAGTTACGCTCAAAGGTGGCACGGCTATGCTTGGCCTTCGCGCGCTGCTTTCCTTTAACGTCGGGGTCCGAGTCTTCTATCTCAGACTTGTCACCTTCATCGTCATCACCGTTGCCAGAGTCCGAGTCGACACCTAGATCAACACTGCTGCCGCGTGCTCGAGGCCGAGACTCTTGGACCTTGGCGGGTCCGTCCTCAGGCTCGTCCTCCATGTCCTGGTCTTGGTCTTCAGGCTGGTTCTCGGCGTCCTTGTCTTGGTCCTCGAGCTGATCGTCGTTGTCTTCGTCATCCTCTTGATCATCCTCCTCGTCACCCTCCTCGTCATCATCTTCGTCATCACCTGACTTAACAAGACGAGGTGTTTTCGGCGCATTGTTAGACCTGAGGATTTTCCTCAACTTGTACTCCACCTCGCGATGCTCAGCATCGAGGTCCAGGTCCTCATCCGCGAGATAGTCGAGAGTGCGAGTCTCTTTGTATCGCTTAACCAGTTGATCGCAGACCTCAGGGACAGACATGATTCTCCAGTCAGGGATAGAACGTCTGAGCCGGTGCCAGACCAGTATGAGAGTAGGACGTGGCCACTGATCGACGACCTCTGCTCTAACACCGGCCCAGGATATACGGCTGTCAGCGTTGGCCTCGGAAGCTTTGACGGCTTTGATGACGGTGTAACGGTGTCGGTGAGACATGAGCACTGCCTCTTCTCGCGCCTTCTCGATCATCTTATCAACGGGCGCGGAGACGCCGTCAATATTCCCACCTTCCATCTTGGCCTTGACTTTCTTCCACTTGGCTTGGCACTGGAGTCGGCTGCGGGTTCGTCCCATCTTCTCACTGATGAGTTGCCAGTCAACTATCTCTTCGGGGAGAGTAGTATAGATGTACTTCTCGGGATTGCTGTGAATCTCGTCGATCGAGTGTAGGACGTGTTGTGTAAGTTTCTCCTCTTCTTCGTGGTCCCACGCGTCATAACGTTGTTTGTCCCCACAGACGACGTAGTTGCGAATGCGATCTCGTACGTCTTCTGGGTGGCGGTTGATGAGCCTGCCAATTCTGGCATGTTGCATGCCGTGCTCGTTATACATGTCCTTCAATTCCTGGTGCTGCTCCGGAGTCCAAGTACCACGAGCAACGAAATTGTGGAATCTGCGGCGGCACAGGTTGATGACCTTCTGTCGCGGGCGGTTATCACAAGTCGCCGCTATATGGTCCCACATATCCTTTGAGTCGACCTCTCTAGGGTTGCCTTGGATCAACTCATTCACTTCGAATTGAGTCTTGTTGTTATCATCCCGCCAGCGCTCCACCGCCTCCCTGATATTGCGAAGCTCAAAATCACTGAAGGGGCCCTTCAGAGTATCCCAGGACTTAGGAGTCCGTTTCTTGCGAGCAATACGCTTGGATGACGATGCGGGGCTATCTTCAGTTTTGCCTTTGAGGATGGTCGAGATCTTAGGTTGCTTGCTCTTTGTAGCTGCCCTTGATGGGCCAGCCACAGCAACGTTAGTATCCTCTGCAGAATGTTGGCCCCGAAGCTGCCTGCGGGAAGCAGCAGCGGCAGCCGGAGACGGATACTCTTTGGACTCGCTTAAGAAGGAAGGCTTGGCAACACGCTTCCGTCCCGTGGTCTTAGCACGTCCATGGCTGCTAGGGCCTGCCTCGGCTTGCGTGGGTATTCGATGAGGCACTGAGGTTGGACGAGGCACTGAAGATGGAACCTCTACCTCATCATTTGAGACACCATTGGGCAGATTCTCGATGTCTGGTGCGACCACAGCGACTTCAGCACTTTGCAAGTCGTTATTGGAAGCGTGGGACGCGTGACGGTAGGCAAGCTGATCATCTCCTGATTCCGAAGACGGAGCTTCGAATTTAGTGACTCCAGGGTTGGCGTCTGATACGTCGCCAGAGGTATTGGCGGGATCTTCCACCTCATTTGAGGGTTTACGCCAAGAGGTGGTCGAGGGGCCAGTGTCTGATCCGGATTCCTGGGACGAACCGTCACTCTGCGGACCGTTGTTGTCGTAGTCCCCATCGGCATCGGTATCTCGATAATTCTCTGGCTCATCCTCTTCACCCTGTTCACCCTTGTCCCTCTTGTCGACATCCATACGGTTGGCATGATCGCCATTCTCGCTCGAAGTGTCATGTTCTGACTCTGGTGCAGCAGCCTTAACTGACTTGGATGAGTTTCGATGTTTGCGTTGTGCTCGAGCCCGGCTCGGAGAAAGTTCCATTGAGTTGGCGGGCTCAAGTCCATTCTGCAAAGCATCATGGGTCGTACCCTCCTTGCGCCCGCTGTAAAGTTGCTCAGCAAATTGACTGAAACCCTCTTCGTCATCAACAACACGCTGGTGATTGACATCGTCCTTTCCCTTGGAACGATGGGCTTGACTATCGGCGATAACTCCGTCAGCAGGGATGTCTCCATCAATGTCTTCCGGCTCGGCAGACTCGAGACCCAAATCAGCGGGCTTGTAATGGTGGTGCTTGTGCTTCTTCTTGTTCCGTCCGCCTGAACCGCTCGACTTACGCTTCTTGGAGGACTGGCGAACATCGTCTGAAGTTGGTGTGGCGTTGTTGCTGTTGGTTTGTTGTACAGCGGGGAGCTCGTCAGCAGGAGGCTGGGAGTTTGAGGTGGCATGTTGGTCCGAGTCGCTCTCTGGCTGTGGTTCAGCCTTTATTTGATCTCTCGACTTGCGCTTGCGCTTTTTAGAGGAATGGGCTGGAAGCTCGGTCTCATCCTGTGGCTCCTCGTCCACGTCCATGTCCATGTCGACCAGTGGATCAGAGTCGGTGGCGGGGGCTTCGTATCTGGCTGGACCACTGGCGTGAGCATCCCAATGGGCAGCATACTTGCTAGGTCCAGGGACTTGAGAGGAAGTCGAGGCATCTGCTTCTGCCTGGGACTGTTGCTTTGCCAGCTTTGCTGCTTTCTTCTGCTCCTTTCTCTCCCTCTTCTGTTGGCGGCGCAGCTCCTTTTCAGAGATCGCATCACCTTGTGAAGAGGCGCCGTTCACACCGAGCGCACTCTGGCTAGCACCTTGGTTCATATCGACATCATCCTGTACGTCGCTTTGTAGACCGGCAGAGCCAACAGTCAGCAGACCCGTGACGTCTCCAACGCCATTGCTGTCTGTGGGTGCATCGAGATCGAGCGAGGAATGGGGGATGAATGGGCGTTTGTCGTCGGCTGGGCGCGGGGTAGAGTTGGTTTGCTTCCTTACTCGACGACCCTTTTTGGACTTCAGAGCACCGGAAGATTCAGATGGCTGATGCGAGGGAGAAAGGTCGGACATGTTGAGTCCATTGGGCGGCGGGGCCATAGTCTCAGTCGGTCGGCGTGTGGGGGAGGAACTTGTGAATTCGACCTTGAGGTCGCGATTGGCCGCGCCAGGAATCTGACTTGAGAAAGTGAAATCAGAGGAATCTTGCTGGGTCGCGCCGGGATAGGGCGGAACCGAGTATAGACCAGGGCTGTCTGGGTCGACTTCGTCGCTGTCGGGGTGCTTGAAACCCTCCGCATGGGGTTGGCTGCTGTTCTGCCCCATCTAGAAGACTAGACTCATTTCCCTCACCGCCAGTGACGCGAAAGTGGAAGGGTGCACGCCAGCTGGGGCTGCTGAGAAGGCGACGTTGTATTGTGGGAGGTTCCGATGGATTGAAGACAGGATGACAACGACAGGTTGAAGTCGGTATCTGTCGCGTCGCAGCAGGTGTCGATTGGGAGAAGCGAACGGTGTACGTGTAGCTGCGGCAGCTGCAGCTGTGACATGTATAGCCGTAGACGCGGGCGTGATGTGCAAGTCGCGTTGCGGAGGCGTGAAATCTGCAGCAGCCCCAGGCACGAAAAAGCTGGAGGGTACCTTCGTACTGATTGAAGTCGAGGGCAGCTTCCCACTGGATAATAGCATTGATGACTGCCAATTGGACAGAACCATCCTTGGGAGCTGGGAAGCCCGGCGCTAGGCCTACCTAGGTAATCCGGGGGCCGCCACCATAACACCGACAAGAGGTCCGCTGACGGGGAAATCCCGGAAATGCTCAGGTACTCCTACCCTGGAAACATTCAGCAACAGCCCCCCTAGCGGTCGCAGTCAGGGGTAACAGGGCCAACTTCATGCAACCACTGACACCCTAGAGTGCTACATGGGTGTATCCCCGTACACCTCACCTTGCAAGCTGATCATGTCTTGTGGCAAGATCATAATAACGAAATGTCACCTGAGGAGGCTAGGGGCTTAAATTTTATTTCGTGATTGCTTCAATTGGGCTATTCGTGACCCAAATCTATCTCCCCTTTCTGCCCTTTACCTTGCCCAACGAGCCAAAACCCTGAAGATACACCGCATCTTCGTACGGGCCTTGCCCAACTCATGGCACACAAGATCACTAGACATATTGTATGGTTGTGCCTGTGGACCACTTGTCGAATCTTGCAGCTCTTGTCAACCGGGAGAGCTTTGGAGTGCTGCCTCGAGGACGCGGAAATACCAACAGACTCATTATGCACTGCGGACCCCGGTAACGTCATATCACATAGTTCGCAGGCTTGGCTCTTGCCGATGCCTTGGCAGAGTCTATTGCGATTTTCAGTGCGGTGGATTTCCCTCATCGTATTCAGACTTATTTTCATCCCATGCGCATATAGAATCTGGCTTTGAATGAGCGCAGTGCCACTTCAATACGGCCTTGGCTGGCCCCTTTGAGGAATATGGCCGGCAAGATCCTTCATAGCAACCCCGCAAATACGAGATTCACTCGTTCACCCCTGGACACCCGATGGGATATAATAAAGCCGTCATGGCCGTCAAAGCGTCGATAGCAGTTGTGTTGGTCGTGCCCGGTATTCACTCGCGTCAAGATCATATTTTCCATCATGAGGCTCACTTCAGCGACTTACCTAGCGGTGCTCTCGGGCCTGGCGTCGTCGCCGCGTCTTGCGCGCGGAAGCCCTGTCGCGTCGCGCCAGGAGGCTTCCAGCTGCACCGAGCCTGCGTCCCGGCCCGAGTGGAGGACGCTGCCGGACGACACCAAGGCCGAGTACATCAGCGCCGTCAAGTGTTTGACCACGAAACCGTCCCGGATCGGGCTGGACACGACTCTATACGATGACTTTCCCTATGTCCACGCCCAGTTGAACCTGGACAGTAAGCTCCATCACTCCAATGGTAGTCTGATCCCATGCTAACCGTTTGACTCGCAGTCCATTTCGTGGCCCAGTTCCTGCCGTGGCACCGGCTCTTCGTGCACCTGTACGAGACGGCCCTGCGCGACGACTGCACCTACACGGGCCCGATGCCCTACTGGGACTGGATGCAGGACTCGGGCACCTTCCCCTCCTCGCCTATCTTCTCAAACTCCAGCACCAGCGGCTTCGGCGGCACAAGCGCAGGCGGCTGGGTATCGCCGGCTCGCCCCAACCCGCTGACGTCCTGCGTCACAGACGGCGCCTTTGCCGACTTTAACGTGACCTACTATACCCTCTCCAAGCAGAGCCACTGCCTCAATCGAGCGTTCAACAACGGCACGGGCACCGAGGCTGAGGCGAACTGGGAGGCGGCCGACTACTCGACTGCCACGATAGCCAACATCACCGACAACTCGGCCGACTTCAAGACCTTCTGGCCCGCGCTGGAGAACACGCCCCATGGTGCGATCCACGCTGTCATTGGTGGCGACATGGTCCCGCAGACATCGCCAAATGGTAGGTCTCCCCCTCATGGCCAATGCGCAATTTGCGGCCTGCAGACTCTTGCTTACGTGGTTCAGATCCTCTCTTCTTCCTCCACCATGCCCAGGTCGACCGCCTGTGGTGGATATGGCAGCAGGTCGATCCCGAGACGCGAAATGCGGACTTTTCGGGAAACAAGAACCAGGCTCCTGACGAGACCCCCGCTGCTTTGACCGACGTCATGCCCTACTTGGGACTGGGCCCGAACATGACGGTCAGCACTGTGATGACTATTGAGAACGACGTTCTATGTTACACATACGTATAGATATCAAAATCAAGTGCTTCATATATTGGCATGGCCCGAAGAATCTTGTGCATGTATGACATCTCCCTTGCAAGGTTTGCGCTGCCGTACAAGTAGGATATAAACCAGGGCACGAATCTTGTTTCGGTAGGTGGGAAAAATATGCCACACTATATGTGGATCGGTCCAGCAGCGGCCATGCGTGCCGGTGAAGGTCGAGCTACTTGATTCTCACGTGTCACTTGGAGAGAGATATCACAAAAGGTCCTTGCTCATATTCATGAATGAGGTGAGGAATGAGAGAATGCAGCCAACTCCACGTCCTTCAAGTGCGTTCTTGCTGGCGATCTTAGCCATTCGGCCTGGTCAGAATATCACGGCCATTACGTCTCCCAACTTCACAACTTCCCGCTCCTAGTGCTAGGCGCGATGGGTCTGGATTGCCGAACATCTGGGTCACAGCGAGGTCAGTACGTCCGATGGCCAATCTGGTTACACGCACTCGCCCCCACCATGTCTCGATGCCCGAGATAAATTGGTGCAAAGTTATTGTGGGTGTGGAAAGGGGGAAGACTCTCCCCTTTCCAGCACCAGTTACTGAAGATGAAAGCCGAAAGAGTGCTGCAACCGCATGAGGAAAGGAAAAAGTAGCCAATCGGCCTAGATGGTCCTAACTGATATCTAATCGTTCATCTGCGTGTCGCTTCGTCCTTGACTGCTTGAAGGTCGGTCTGTCCGTGAGAGCCACCATGTGTGATTGCCCTTGCCGAGTTGGTAAGGGTTGGTTGGTGATCATCCCGGGCGACTTCGTCTAGGTGTTAGTTACCTTATTGACCGTTGACTTTCTTGCTTGCATGCTGTCACATGTTTGTTTGTTTTGTATTTAACGTGGGGGGTAGCTCCTCAGTAGTGCAAACCACGCCTCCCAGAGCCTCTGTATCGCAGGGTTGTGGAGGTCTCAAGATAATAAGTACAGTCAGACCCGCTCACGGGCCCATCCCCGTTGTTGCGGCGGTATGACCTTGGGGTCATCCATCTGGTCCTTTAAGAACAGCTATCTATGGGAGACAGATTGTTAAAAAGAACTTGCTCTTCTCCACGAATTTTGCCCATTTTGTGCTCCTCTCCCCTAAGTATTGTAAACAGGCTGTCTTAGGCGAGTACCTAGGCAATAACCGATTTTTTCCTAGCCTCTTATAAAAGAAAATATGTTATGGTGTTTTTTTTTCCACCACAGCTGCAGTGGTTGTTCGAGTCTGTATGCCCAAAGCGTTCATGGTATCTGGCAAAGTCGCCATGTCCAGATCTGGCCGCTAAAAGTCTGTGTAGAGTGCTCCTCTTAAAGGATATAAGGCCTCTTTCAGTTATTGTATGTGAGTATACTTCTTGATACCTAGGTTCTGATTGGTCTTTTTACCATTAGTTGAACTCTTTCTTGCCCTTTCTCTTGAGATCTCTCTTAATCCAAGAGATTATAGGAAGGTTTGTTGTGTCTGTTTCTAGCATAGCACCCTCTTTTGCTAATATATCGGCAGCTTCGTTATCATCAATATCTCTGTGTCCAGGAATCCACTTGACGGTCACTCCAGGAGTGTGTGCTGTGGCGAGTTCTTGGAATCGCAGAAAAATTTTCTGTGATGTCTCGGGTGGAGTCCCATTGAGCCCATCCACCACTGATGTGTTGTCCAGGCAGACATATAGCTGTTTTCCGTGTCCAATTGCCCTGGCTGTTACAAGACCTTAGAGAGCACCATAGACTTCAGCATCCACTACTTCTGCTTATAGAAGTCTGCCCCTTCCCCGGTATACTTCTTGTGTAGTGCCGCCTTTCCTGATGGTATAGCCCCATCCAGTGCGGGTTGTGCCTTGGTCGTCCAATTGTGATCCATCTGAATAGATAACAAGATCAGTGTTTACATTTCTTTCCTATAGCCATTGCTTAAAGAGGTCTGTTTCTTTGTCTTTGTCTTTACAGACTGGGGGCTTCTTCAATAATGACTTGGTGAGTATTGGTCTCTGGAAGTCAGGGACTAGTTGGAAGCTCCTTTGTAGCCTTGTTGGTTCTTTGCGAGCTTGTATTTGGAGCCTGCCAACAAGAGGGTGTCTCTGATCTACTCATCCGAGTCGGAGGCCGTGACGTCTTCTTATTGACTCTGCAAGAATTCCTGCTGGAGGAATCTGTGATTCAAAGTATAGGATATGTCCAGGGTGTGTTTTCCAGACTGGCAAGATAGCTCTGATTGTCGTTTGTAGTACAGCATCTATCGTTCTAAGAAGCCCTTTAATGCGACATGCTGATGTCTCACCTAAGCTCTCAGCTTTCTCGATTCCTGGGTACCAGGCCTCTAGGCCATGTGTGAGAATAGGAATAACACAAGCTTTCACAGCCCTCTTGGTTGACTTTACTGGAAGTCCTTTGACTGTGTTGCATAGTCCTCGAAGGTGATTTGCTACCCTACTAGCTTTCTTGGCCCAGTGAGAAACATGGTCTTTGAAGTTTAGTTTCCTATCCAGAAGGACACCTAGCCATCGCATGGAATGCTTAGCTGTTTTGTTCATTATTCTGTGGCAAACTGGGGGATTGTCTGAGTTCTTTTTCCGTGAGAAGTGCATGGTCTCGGTTTTGTCGGGATCAAATTCAATAGCATTGTTATGTCCCCATTGGTTGAGTAAATGAAGGTTTTCAGAAGCCTCTGTAGTTGTTTCTTTAAGGTTCTTTCCAATGCAGAGTGTTGCTAGGTCATCTGCATATCCAAAGCGTCTTCTTTTCATGCCAAGTCGGGCACAGATTGGCTCTGTATACAGCATGTAGAGGATTGGAGAGATTGGTGAGCCTTGTGGGAGCCCACAAGTGAGAGCTTTTATATCGGTCACAGTACCTTCAAACCGAACTCTTGCGGACCGCTCGGACATGAACGACTGGACCCATCTTATGAGAAAGCCTGGCCAGCCCTGTTCTCTCATGCGAACCACCAGCCGTCCCATTAGGGCAGCATCAAAGGCCCCTTTCACATCTGATGGGCCGTATGGCGCAATGGTCAAATGCGCCTGGTTGTGTTCTCGTTTGTGCGGTGGGCGACGAGAACAAGTGGGTTCGAATCCTGCTATGGCCCCCTTTCTGACCCGGCTTGTGCGAGTCGATAACCAGCACACGACAGTGGAGAGGCCCCATTTATCGCAGAGCCCGATAGCCAAGCAGCTTGTCTCCACAATACCCACTCCTGCGAGGTTTTCCCCCTTGTGGTTTCCCTCGCCAGCAGATAACAAACACCTACTCCACTCACCAATGCGACATATATCGAACGGCTACTGGAACGATATGTACACCAGAGAACTGAGGTTCACTGGGTCGCTTTGTCACTAGATAGGAGGTTTTTCTGACGGAATCGTGTTTGGGTATTGACTAAAACCATCTGAACACTACAGATTGGTACCGCTACAGCGAGGATAGGCTCGTGCGCGGATCTGAATGTATCTAATTTGACACCTCTACAACCTTGCGATGCAATGGCTCTGGGAGGCGTGGTTTGCACTACTGAGGAGCTACCCCCCACGTTAAATACAAAACAAACAAAACAACTTTCACATCTGATGTGACTACCGTTGCAACGAGGCCTTGGTCAAGGGCCTGCTCAATATCGTGTATGAGTGCAGCTACCAGGTCAGTGGCAGAGCGCTTGGTAGAGCTCCAAAATGTTGTGGAGCTAGAATTCCAAGTTTGATAACAAACCAAGTAATTCTTTTTGCGATGAGTCGTTCTGGGCCTTTGCCAAGACACGACAATAGTGATATTTGTCTGTAGGCCCTGGGATTAGAGTAGTCTTTCTTTCCTGGTTTTGGGATCATCACTACCTCAGCTACTTTGAATGGTTAGGGTGGTGTCCAATCTGTAGACAGGTCTGGAAAAGGGCTCTGATATGTTCACCAATGACTGGCCAGCAAGTTTTCAGAATCCATACTATGAGGGTATCTACTCCCGGGGAGTTGCTCTTGGTTCCTAAAGTGCACCCTTCAGCCTCTTCCAGTCCGACGTGGTATTCAAGGGGGATGTGTGGCTTGGGTTGTATGATCTGAACGGACCAGGGGTCGATGATATCGTTGTCTGAGGTACTTCGTTCAAGCGTGGCTGAGCGTAATGCATTTGCCTTGCTCTCTTATGACTCGAATATTTGGTCTCCTATGATGATTGGAGGGGAACGCAATCCTGCTGATAACTTGTGCCAAGAGACGATTCTGTATAGGTCCTTTGGCTCAGTTGCTGAATTGATTAGAGTCTGCCAGTACTCTCTCCTAGCTTTCCGAACCACGCCGCGAAATTCCCGTCGGGCTGAATTCCGTCCTTCTTGGCTTGTAGTCTGTTTGGAAAGGGCCCTGTATGTCTGAATAGCTGCTTTGCAGTCATCATTCCATCAAGCAGTGGGCCTAGATTGACGGGGCCTCTTGCCCACTGTCCTAATACAGCCTTGGATCATGTTGATCAGGCTTTGTGTAAAGGTGTCCACCTGGCTAGGGGATACACCCAGCCGGGGGAGTTCATGAATCCTGGTTTGGACATTATCTGCCAGCTCCTGTAGTTTATCGTCCGGTACTATCCAATGATTGGCCTTGGGTACTCGGTCCAGATCTCCCTGGATTGGAATGACTATTCGTAATGTCTCATGATCTGAGGTGCACTGAAGTACATCATTGACTGAGGCTTCAGCCATGGGGACATCAGAGAACACCAGATCTAGTACATTTCTGTCATCATGTGTCGGGACATCTGGTTCAGAAATCAGATCCAGTCCGTGGTCTGCCATAATTTGTGCAAGTATAGCACCACCATGATATCCTGGATTGCTTGAGTCCCAGGATGTGTCGCCAGCATTGAAATCTCCAGCTATAACGCAGCCAAAAGGTGGAGTCCATACTTCCAGAATGTTATCCACTTCCTGTGGGTTGTCACATGGCCGGTAGACACTGACAAATGTAATGCCTTGTACCTTGACCCAGGTGATGTCTCGTGTAGCATAGGGCCGAAG